ATCGCATTCCGATTAAAGCGACGACGAAGAAAAAGTCCCCCCCTCTTAATAGATGAATAAATAAAAACAGTGCAGATAGCACTGTCTCGCCGCAGTGTGGTGTGTCCTTGCAGAGCATGGCCTCTGCTATTCACGGCGCTCGAAAGAGGGAACATTATTAAAACATAGACAAGAAACCCAAGGAATTGTATAGGGGATGTTATATTGTAGTAAGTATGATGTAAATGGGCGGCAAAAAATGGAAAAAAAAAATCGAACCTGCGACTTTCTAATAACGGCTTCGATGCTTTGGCGGCGCTGCTATCGCTGTGGCTGTCGTGGAAACATCTAGGTTCTGTGCTGTTGTTGTTTTTTTGATCGTGTTGGTAATTTTGTATAGCTATAGCTACAATATTTTCTCCGAGGGAACGGTGGCGCTGCGATCGTTCGGCCACCATGACTGGTAGTACCACGGATTTTCCTGCAAGTCTTCGTGCCTGCGGATTTTGTTTATTGTTGTTTTTTTTTTGCTTTTGTTTCGGATGAAAAGAACGACTCGTTGTCAACAACCTCGTGAGCGAATCGTAATTGGTCAAGCCAAAATATCCTCAAGCTGGTGTGAAGTGGGACCGTTGAAACTTTGCCGAACTTCGTCTTGCGACGACGCGATGCAAAAAAACGCGCGCACTATTCGTCATTCCGATGCTGGCTGAAATGTCATTCGTTGCAGTTCCATCAGAGCCATATAGACAAATTCCACCGCACTTACGTCTCGAAAATGCAGTGGCGCTGTCTTGGTAGGCAAAAGACGCTCTGCCTACCGCAGTTTCTGCTGGGTTTTTGAGTGGTGCATGTGTTGTTCTCAGTGAAGCAACGAGGGCAAAAAAAAAAAAAAGCGGTATGCCGACGAGCTGCGTCGCGATTGAATGTGAGTCACGTCTCACAACTTAGGGCCAAACCTCATAAGCGCGAGAATGCACGCGACAGCGACGAGCGACACTATGAGCGACGAAAGAGGGCGTTCGCGCGACGTGTCGCGTGCTCGTTTTCGCGCGATCGCTCGGTTCTCCAGATTTGGAAACCGTCGCTCATCGCCCGGAAGTGCTGGGCTCAAGCAGCCAATAGCGAAATACCGGAAAAGACAAAAACTATACATAGGTGCACGTGACCCTGCCCGAGTCACGTATGCGGAACAAGAAATAACGCAATGTTTATTACGCATGCGCACATAAAAAATGCTGCAAGGCAATAATAAACACTTTCCGTTCCATTACACAACAATATATCTTATTTTTTAATTGGAAACCGCTCGCTACGCGGTTTTCTTGGTGCGAGTAGACGGCCTCATGCCAGCAACAGTGGAATTCGCTCGCCGAAGCCGTCGCGTGAATGAGGTTTGCCTGCGCTAGCGACTGATCGCACGAAGCCGATCTACGTCGCTTGTCGCTGTCGCGTGCATTTTCGCGCTTATGAGGTTTGGCCTTTAGTTTTGTTTGTCGGCGCACATTGCAGCCCTCGGTGCTTATGGCTCTCACAACGCTTATGGCGTCTCAAGCTGTCGTTTTGTTGGCGCACGTCGCAGCCCTCAGCGCGTATGGCGGAAGTTAGTCGGACGTCGCTATGATTTTACCCATAATGTCGACGTCGGCCTACTTGTGTTTACAAACATGGAATGTGTCTATATATCACCCATAGACATCTGTGCCAGAACGTCACAACTGTAACTGTATATTTTCTTCGAAAGTTAGGAGCGCGAGGTGTTTAGCCTCATAATGCGTTAGCGACATTCCGGCCTGTGTGATATGGACGCCTCAGTGGTTGGGTGTTTCGTTTTAAAGAGTACACTTTTCGCGTTGCCTACAAGACTGAGAGAGAAAAATAAATACCCGCCTCGGTGTTTCTAGTGGCTAAGACACTCGGCTGCGGCGGCCGCACTTGCGATGGAGGCGAAGATACTAGAGTCCCGTGTGCTTCGATTTATAGGTGCACGTTAAAGAACACCAGCTGGTTGGATTTTCCGCAGCCCTCGACTATGGCGTTTCTCGTAATCGTATTGTGGTTTCGGGGCGTTAAACCCCAACAATTATTATTAGAAAAACAATCACTATGCCGAAGCTCCCTCTCCCTGCCCTTTCATCTCCGACCTCGCACCCTTGTTGCTCCTCAATTGATCTTGAGGCTCGGGTGATGTTGACTCTCAATAAGATCCTGATTTGGTGTATACTTCGGGATTTTGAGAATACGCCTTGGCAGGCTCTTTTTATGCACCGCCTGTATGCGGAAGATAGCGGAACCGCTTGGAGTCGGAAGACCGAGATATCCGTCATTTGCCAAGTTGGCTGCGTGAACTACGAGAGACTGTACTTACACCGCAGATCTTAACGTCACCTTTAGCCACAACCGTGGTGGCAGTTTCTTAAAGTGGCAAATTTTCGTTAAGAATGAGTCGTAGAGGCAGGCGACCGGCGCAGCGCTTTTCGGACTGCTGAACGCCCGTTACCCAGACCAAGTCCCCTCTTCGTGCAAACTTAGCGTGCAAACCAGGAGACTTCCTCCACATACTGCTCACATATCCACCTTCCCACGTCCCCCACCTCCGGCTGTAGCAGTGTCATACTGGGAGACCATCATGACCGGCACTTTTGCGTTCGATCAGCGCTGAATCGTCTCGTGCGCCGTGAAGAGTATCGCACTTCAAGGGCTTTCCTTTGCTTTGTAAGGGTGCCTTCTCACCGTAAGCCACGTGCCATGAGGGGGCTCGGCCTTCGCGTTCTAAAGTGGCAATAAATGTTTCTGCCACCAGCAGCGCTTTGGCTTCAAAGGCTGGACGTCGCAGGTGCCGATACATGCGCACGTGCGTTTCACTTACGTTCCTCGCCCGCTGACCCGCAGGTCGCGGGATCGAATCTCGGCCTGCGGCGACTGCATTTTTCGGTGGACGCAAAAAATGTTGTATAGGCCCGCGTGCTCATATTTGGGTGCACGTTAAAGAACCCCAGGTGGTCGACATTTCCGGAGCCCTCCACTACGGCGTCCCTCCTAATCATATGGTGGTTTTGGGACGTTAAACCCCACATACCAACAAATCGTTCCTCGCCGACTACGTCACGTTTTTTTTTTTTTTTTAAGTTCCTCACATTCGACCGAAACGCCCCTTTCTTACCCTTCCTGGCGCCTGCTTTCTCGTTTTCTTCCACGTGACCCCTCGCATCGGGTTTCGTAATGTTTTGCTGTCAGAAGAGAAGCGAGGAGACGCCGCGGAGCGTCGCTATGGAAACGCTCGTGGCTCCTCCGCGCGCATGCGCCGTCGTGGCGCCACTACTACGTCTCTCCCTCCTCCCCCGTATCCCCCCCCCCTCTTCGCTTCCCGTTTTGGCAGACTTCCGGGTTTTCGGGAAGGCCCGGGAGCGTTCGGGAAGGGGCGGAAGAGGAAAGCGGTAGAGAGGGTGGAGCGGAGAGATTGGCGAGAGTGAGCTGGAATTGGTGAGGCTCTTCGCAAAAAACAGAGGAGAAGCTGTTGGGTGAAACACTTACCTGCTTGCCTCGCAAACGACCCGGGTTCGATCCCCAGTCGGACCAAGATTTTTTTTCTTATTTATTTTGTTTGCACATTTCTCGATTTCTTGGTCACGCAGAGTTGCTCGATTTTTCGGTCACGCAGAGTTGGTGACGTTTCGTTCACAACCAACGACGCAGACGCCAGAATTTTTTTTTTTTTTTTTTGCGAAAGGAGCTTGCGATCGCGAGAAGATAATTTCCGAGGCCAGTCACGGTTGTGTAGTTCGTGGCACGAGTCCGGTGTGCCTTACTCTGGCTGCGCCACTGACTTCGAGTGTTGTACGTGGCTTTTGACCGGGTTTTATTAGTTTTTTTTTTGTTCGTTTCGTCGTTTCTGTTGACGCCACCGCCTCCGCGATGTCTCGCCAAAATCACGAAATCCCTCGACTCGATGCGACGTACGAGGCTTTCTGCTTAATAACGATTATCTATTTTGTCGGGACGGTCTCTTGTCGGGATGTTCTCTTTTCGGCCCGATGGTGGTACCGTCCGTGTTAACGCGTTTTGTGTAACTCGGCATACCGCGTACTGTGAGTGTATAGGTTAACTAAAACTCTCCGCTGAAGATTTCCACGGTTGCGCCGGCCAACTACGTTCGCTCATTCGCATCTGTAACGTCGAGCTCGTTTTCGTGTTGTAAGGCGGTATTACCGTGCGGGTCTCTGTGTCGCCGGTCGCAGGATGAAACACTGGGACGCTTGTGAGCAGTCGCAATTGCAAACACGGGAACGGGGCGAGCTTACAGTGCGTGGTAATGTCATCGTTTAACCACACACTGAGTTCTGAAACCGAAACCATAGAAACGAGCCTAATAATCTCTTGTCAGCTCAATTTCTTCTCTCTAGTTTGACAATTTGCCTTCTCGCAAAACCTTGCAAAGGCCTGGCGTTCGAAGCTCTGGCAAATCAATGCGCTGTCCCTGATTACCCATACCGGTTTGACCGCCATACTTTCAAGAAAACGTTGAAAATATCGCCTCGGAATTTCGGCGCCCGTACTCGGTCTTTAGAAGCCGAAGATCCTTTAGTTTGGCACAGTGCCGGAAAAAAGTTGGGTGGGGGGGAGGGTGAGATCACGCGTAATCTCGCGAGTGATTGACATTCTCGAAGAATGACTGAAGTCTATTGTCCGAGCATGCCTCGCCGGGCAACCCACATGGCCACTTGCTGTGCACTCTTCATGCGAGTTTTTTTATATTATTACTATTAGCTCAGAGTTATTATGAGAAACAAAGAAGGGGGAAAGGGCGCATTATAGAACGGCTACGTCGTGCATTTGTGTGTTCTCTTTCATTAAATTGCAAATGTGTGTAGTCCTCCAACTTTTGAAGCTCTGTCGTTTTTGGTCAAGCTGTATAGTAGCCTTTCACTCGGTGCTATCCTGGATGCGAGGAGACCGTTAAAACGTAATAGAACTTTACAAATGAACTGTTTCGGTACATTTTTGTTTTTCTCTTCTCGCAGGTCTCGGCGCTCCTGAAACTCGCCTCTCTATGTCTGGCCACGCTGAGAACACAAGCCTTCGACGAGCAATAAATTGTAGAAAGGCAAGTAAATCGCTCGCCACTTCTTTATTTTTTTTTTGTTTTTAGTCTACGAAGCTTATCGGTAATCACATGTTCAGGTTATCATCTGCAGCGGCAGCTCCAATTTGCGACGGCCAAACTTTAAGTTAAACGCACTGAGGGGACATACCCCCGTATTCACAAACGCTCCTCAACTCGACTTTCACCCTTCACTTGACAGAGTTGAGCAGTGCGCCACTGCTCGGCTAAAAATGACGTTGCGCTTCTCGAGAATCGCAGGAGGTTATCCCTCATATGCAGTGACTTGCCGTTCTTAGAGATGGCGCTCGCATCGGCTTTCTCAAGTGAAGGTGAAGCGTCGAGTGAAGGGACGTTCTAGAATACGGGGGATAGTCGCGCGATAAGCCGAATCGGTGGTTCCGGCGGAGCTGCCCAAATACAACTAGTTCACTAATACGGCGGTCGCATTTTGAGGCCCGTGTATTGTAAGTGCTCGCTAAAGAACACCATATGGTCGAAATTTCTGGAGTACTCTACGGTGTCTCTGATGATCGCATCGGGGTTTTCGGTACGTAAAACACTAGATATATTATTATTATTGTTGTTGTTGCTGTTATTGTTGTTATTGTTTTCTAATAACTTTAAGAAATCACACAAATGACAAGCACACACGGGTGTTTGTCTGCATCGATTGATCGAGGCGCTAGAAGATTTAATCATTACAAGTTAGCGCAGATATTACAGCTCGTTTTGCGCGTGCTAAAAATTTGCTTAGATGGGTCAATCAGTCGTTATCGCTCGTTACCGTAGCGTCAATGTAGTTTATCCGTGACACTCGGGTGTACTTGTTGTGTCGCTGGTGGTGGCAGCACACCCTCTCTAGAAAGAGGGTGCGGCGCTCATAGCTGTGTTAGTAATTGCTGGTGTGTAACGTCCCAAAACCGCCATACTATTACGAGAGACGCCGTACAGTGGAGGGCTGCACAAAATTTCGACCACCCGGGGGTTCTTTTAACGCGCACCTAAATCGAAGCACACAGGTCTAAAGCATTTTCGCCTCTATACCGCGAAATGCGGCCGCCGCGGAGGTGGGATTCGATCCCGCGACCTGCGGGTCAGCAGCCGAGTGCCTTAAAGCCACTAGACCACCGCGGCGGGTGAAAGCTGAAGCGTGTTGCAAAGATTTCCGCGTTTCCGCCGGTATGGCGATTGTTCCGCGCTCTTCCGAATAGGAAAGCCGGAAGAAAGCGGGATGTGAAGGGTGAAGCGAGCACGCGCTTAACTGCGAGACACAGTGTCTCCTTGTGGGCCGCCCGTGTGTTACCTAGTCTCAACGGAGAGTATCGGTGAAAGCAGCGCGTCGGCCAGACCAGCCCGGGCATGAGACTGCAGCGGAAAGCCTGGCAGTGCACTGGGCGGGTTGCCCCTGGCAACCGACACCTTCGGGCCGCGCTCTCCTCTGACCCGCGCTCTCTTGCCTGCAGCTCGCCCGAAATCTCTTCCTCATCTTTGGAAGCTGAGAAGGAGGAGGACGTTGGGTATTTGGGTGAGAATACGGGCTTCGCTTTTACGGTACGCAGGGAAACGGGAGGGAGGGGGGGTGGATACTGAAGAAAGATCTCGGGAGCGTGGGGAATTTTGTTGAGAATGTGCCTGTACGCTGCGCGCTTGAAATGGGGAAATGGAAGGGGAGAAAAGGAAAGGGGTGCGTTTTTCGTTCTCGAAGTGGACATTGAGTCGCGAAACGAAGTGGAAACAAAACGCGCCCAAGAAAGGGACTCGCGCTCTACATGGATCCCTAATTTTCCCAACAATGCTCCCACTCTCCCCTCTTGTCTCGAAGGTCGCGCGCAATCGTCTTCGGTTTGGCACAAACTCGAATGCAGCTCTGGGGTGGTGTCGTGTGTGTGTGTGTGTGTGTGTTTGGATGGTGGCACACTGAGTGGTAAAATAGCGCATCGTCGCTTCAAGATTGTGGAGCGTGGGGTACTGGGGATGGGAGCGGCGGTGTCCGGGACGGTGGTGGCTTTTTCGGGGGGCCCCTTCTAGCCACCATACCGTTCGGTTGGTTTGTCGTCATGGTTACGCGGGAGAGGGAGGTAAAGGAGAGTTGTGCCAGGCGCCCTATAGCGACGGGCGGTTGTTGCCTTCGATTGTACGCTCCCTGCTCGACGGGAAAGCGCGGGAACTTGAGGAGAGGCGCAAGGAAGAGTAGCGGTGACGCGATGTGTATTCGTGGGCGCAAATCCTTCGCATCTGCTAGATTTCTGTGTGTTGTCTTTGTGGCTGTTTGGGTAAATATGCACTGTCGCGAACGCGTCTTCCGCTCCCGGGCGCGTAAAAAGCGCTGGTGCGCAGGTGTCAATTTCGGATTTTTCAAAGTGAAATGACACGGGTTGGGTAGTGCGGTAGTAATTACTAGACCCCCCCCCTTTTTTCTTTTTTTTTAGAAAACGCAAAATTCTTGTGATCTACGCTGTGCTGTACATGGCTCAATTGCTGTCATGCTGAAGGTAAACAGCTCAAAACGAAAAAAAAAAGAAAGAAAGAAACTGACACGGCCGGCAGAAGCAAACACACGGGACAAGCGCTAACTAACCAAGCCAGCCGCTTCAATAAATGACTCGCGGCTCGTTGCTGCGGGGTTTTTTTTTTTCTAACAGCTACGATCGCATTGTTTGTGCACAAAGTAACGAATTTAATGGCGTTCTATTCTATTCGGTGCTGGGACTTAATATGATGGCTCATTAGAAACGCTGAATATTTTTCGAAAATAAGCACCGATGAACAAAAAAAAAAAGAAAACTTCGAAGAAGAAATGCAAGGGCGAAACAGAGAGGGGCAGCATTATCTTGTTTTAATAATGGAATCACCGATATGCATGCAGTCCACTCTTTTATGGCACTGTCGACACTTATTGCGACTACATGATGCGAAGGTTCTTTGCTTAAAACTCAAGAGAGGGTCATCAATCCACTACCTATTTTATGGCATTCATGGTGATGTTTATTATTAATATTGGTGAATATTTACTTATCAGTTTAATTAAAAACCTTTCACTGAGTTCCGCCTTGAATAGGGGAGTCTGTGCCGCGTGTATGAACTTCCAGTTATAGTTTCTAATGCTCTAGTAGCTGCTGTATATGAGCATGACTCAGTTTACGGATCATTGATTTTTTTTTCTGGTTAAAAGGAATGATATGTTATTTTTTGTTGTTTACGCTTGTGAGTAGCTGTTTCAAATAAATTGTGCAATTCCTGGGCCGTTTCAAAAATTGTTACATGGTCATGCTAGAGCTGCCGTGAATCACCATTCGCGATGACGCCGTAGAAGTTATACCGTTCCTAATAAATTAGGAACGGAGCTTGTTGCGATAGTGGCCGACAAATTGAGGTCCACTCTTTCTTTTAACACGAAAGTGTTTTATGCAGGGGGTCCACCGCTTTCCTGCTGACGTACTTCCGTCACGGAAGTGATGTTGAAAAATATCTACTAAGAAATTGCAAAAGAGAAGTCAGAAGGCAAACATCTGTCGCGTGGTATCGAACCAGCAACTTCTGGATTCTCAGCGCGTGGTGCTAACCACTGCGCCATAAAGCGTACGTTGTCTGCAGTGCTAACGGCAAGCCATTTATATGCGCCATACACCTTTTGGCAATCCTCAGAGCTTCGAAACTTAAGCACGTTTTCGTTTTCGGTGGCGAGATGGCGCGAAGGTTTCGTGTTCGACTAGAGTTACTGTATATCTAAATGTAGCATATACAGTAACTATTGTCGCTCGCTGTATTTCGTGCTGACCGGTTGTGCCCCCGCCATCTCCATTACGCCGACAAGAGCTCTCGCCGAGTGAGTTGTTTGTTGAGTGATTCTAGAAAAAAGGAAGAAGGCACCTAATTTCTGTCAGCCCCTTGGGCGACACGGCGCAGTGCCTATCTGAGTGGTGCCCCATACTCCCGACTTCTGCGACCGTGTCCATCTTTCCTATCTTCTCCTTACTTCCCTATGTGGCCGTCCTTGCGCCTCTCTCTCCTCCTGCTCATCTCTCCATCTCTATACCTTCAATTCCTGTCCCTTTTTTGTTCCCTCCTTATCTCCATCCCTCCTGAGCTACTGCTGAGGTGTCCTCCCCCGGAGAGACAGTTACGGGGCTCACTTTTATCTTCTTTTCCGTTTGAGAATCACCTCCCCCTCTAGTGTTCGACGTGCTTTCAAGGTCGCCGCCCCCCTCGGTCCCACAGGGCGTGGTCTCTCCTGCGCGCGCGCTTATCAGACTCGTTATTCGGGAGAGGACGAAGGTCACCTCGCAACCGGCCACCGCCGCTCTTAAGGAGCGCGCTGCTGACACACGATGCAGGAAGAATTGTGACAGTTGTTAGTCCGCGCTCTTCCTGTGTAAGTTAATTTCGTGCGTGCTTTCTGCTTGAGGTGCGCGCTGCAAGTTTCGAGCTGCTTGCCGTTCCTAACGTGACTTTGCAATTTGTTGCTGTTGCTGAAGCAATGCACAATCAATGCTCTCTGTAAAAGACACGTTTCGTGTTATACCGATTCCTATATAGAGGGATTAGCCACGTTCCCTTCTACCTGGATTACGCAGTATTCGCCCTAAATTATTATTGAGATATCCAATTACGTGCGTCGTGAAATCTATAATGGAGCCACTGGTCTGGCTACGAGTAATTGGCGCACTCTTGTGGGACTGGAGTCTCTATTTCAGTCTTTTAACGTTGTCCTGTTCGTTCGGTCATTGTTCGCGGTAAAAAAGGACTGTGACCGTCCAAACGCTAACCCAAAAGGGAAGTAAACACTACGCTAACGCCGTCTTTAGTTCCTCTGCCGCTTTGTCGGTGAAAGCTGGCAAGGAAAGCGTCACTTCTTCAACAACTGCCCATAGAATGAACCGACAGCGGAATTTAACACGCATACCGTGTTTTATCGTGAATCCCTACCGGCTAGCTCGTCTGATCTCTCGATCTAATAACTTGCTTGTTATCATTATTTTCCCCCTGTTTCTTTGCATTGC